AGATAATTCAAAACGTCATTTGTACACGGAGAGAAATATTTTGTAAAAATTACGAAACTTTCAGCGCGCTTATCGATTATGGAATCGCCTCGAAAAATTCAAGTGACGGTATTGTAAGTCTTTGCAGATAATTAATTCACATAAAAATTACGGAACGCCGCAAAAGTTGGTGACTTCAGATGAAAATTACGCGACAGTTCCGTCAAATTTCCTACAACAACATTTCGCTTCGGAATTACGGAAAAGATTGATTTTTTCTGTCTTTGAACCGCGTAATTATTAAAAATATTGTCAGATAAATTGAAATATTTATATTATTATTCTGATTATTCATTTTTTTTAAATACGTAATTTATTATTATTTACAGTATTAGAGGAACGTATAAAAATAGAATTATTTAATGAATGACCTGAATTGAGAGGTTGATGATTTGTAAATGAAGATATTTGGAAGGATTGACGTTGTCCGTGAGTGAACCGCATAATTATTTGGAATATTATCGGGTGAATTTGGCTGGATGTGAATGAGCTCACCAGATGGTGTGTTAAAAGGCACTAGACCTGTACGTGCCAGGTTCGCTGGGGGATATTGAAAGCCTTGGTTTTAGACTTTCGTCTACTACTCGCTATAGTTCAGACCACGTCTGACCTCTCTCAACCTCAAGCCCCAAAGGTCCTGTGTCGGGGGGGACAAAGTAGAAAATTTATTTCATCGGTTTTTCCATAAAAAAGAAATGTGTTGGGGGTTTTAGTCATGCTGTAAGAGTGTTTCTGACATTTTTGTTACTTTTCAGTTTCTCGTATTTATGTTTCGGGGATTGTATGCAAATTCCTGACAAATCAGGATATTTCTTTATTTGGGGATTTCCTGAGAACGAAAAATCTATTTCTATCATAGTTGATTAATATCAGATGGAGGTGTATAATATATTATACTAGTCCCTATTACCAATTTTTTTTCATCATTTCTGGTAGTTTTTTTTTATTTTTCATGTCAATTTTTTATTCCAATTTCATTAATTAAACACGTTATATTAGTCATGTACTTTCATTACAGAATGAACAAGCACGAATATATGCATATTATATAATAATATATATACTATATACGTAATTTTTGGCTATGTAGTACGTAAAAGATACGAATTTAAATTCACACTAATATATCCATTGGAACTCGGCATGATATAAAAATGTAATTAACATCAGGCCACAGTATTAACCATCAGAGATAATGTTTGATGATTCAAATGTCCCCAATCTCATCAGTGAAGAAAACTGGAGGATCCAAGGATGCCGACGCAAAGAAGTAAGACATAATCTGATCGAGAGAAGTTGAAATACATCAGTTGTCGAGAGTGGAGGCAGTGACTTAAATCTCGTTTCATGTTTCAGCATCTCCGGTATCCGGCTCATGAGTTTTAATAGCGAGTCTCGACTTGGCGATATTTTTTAGCCCCTGGAATGAACTCGCCCTATGGATAAGGATGAATTCCCATTTAAGTGGCATTCACCCCCTTGAATTCCACATAACATAGAAGCTGTTAGCTTTGTTCACAAGCGGCTCTAATTCCTCTCGAATTGTTTCCTCTCCCACCAGAAAAAAAAGTGTCGGTAAGTTTTGTTTCGTTTGTCGTCCCTTTGTTTTTCCTCATTTTAGATGAAAGAACGGCGCTCATGCATCATTCTCCGCGACAAGAAATTGTACAACAGTGGATGAAATAAAAAAAATATCGAGACTATTCTTTTGTATCCACTGATGAGGGAGATGTAAAAATTCCGAGTTAATGCTCTCAGTATAAAAATTCCCATAAAAATATCTCTCGAGCTTCAGCATTAATCGGATATTTCACTCAAGCTTCTCATGCTCGTGAGAACGTACGTGTTGACACGAAATTCAAACAGACATTGTCAAGCTTCAAGTACAAATCTAGGGTCTTGACAAGAAAGCTCGACAGCACACGATAAACTTATGGAGATTACAGCTCATAATTGGGTGGGTATAACGTTTATTTTCTGTCAAATTCTGAAAAATTTTTGCACTTCACTGAGATGAGGTAGAACGATACATCTTTAATTGAAATTCAATTTTACGAGTTCTTAATCCATGAGAATACTTCAAACAACAATAGTAAGTTGAGTTATTATCTATCCGATAATTTCACGATTTAAAAATTGATAAGGAAATATTTTCTGTATGGGGCAAATCTTCTTTTTCTTTAAGCAGTTTTTCTCTCAGTCTAGTGATTTTCGTCAAAGGTTTGAGACTTTTCTCTTTGCGAATTACTCGTATCAAGGTGTGTCCTGAAAATAACTCCACGATAGAGTGAACTCAAAAAGTGTTCTCTTTAAAGAAAATATAATTGAGAGTCTATAGATCTTGAAAATTGGTGAAGTTATTGAGTTATGAACTTTTCAAGCCATTCCTTGCTGTCTACTGACGTATGTTCCAAAATTTATGTTCACAAAAATTATAGTGCACATCGGGGAATCGAGGGTATTGCGTCTCCTTGAATTTCTCTCATTATTATTAATTTACAAAAAAGTAGCTGGTAAACATCTCCGATAATTAGAGTAGCCTAGTAGCAGTGGTATAGATATAGAATACAGTATGAATGAATACGATAACAGCACAAAAAAATGCTCCATATAAATTAAATGGAGTAAATAAAAATAAATGGGAGAACTCCAGTAGGAGAACAAAATCCATATCTTTGAAAAGCCACAAATTTATCCGAACATTCGTAAATTAGTGATTCAGTGTTTAATTGAAATTGAATCTTTAGTTGAAACTCGAGTTTGCATTTATTATCTGATAATTCAATGAACTAGAAAAATTGTACTACAAACGATTTGTTTTTTTATTTATAATTCAGAGGGAGATGTCCCTGGAAGGTAGTGGAGCTACGTTAAATTCCACTGGACTAGATGCGATGTAGAGCGTATCGCATAGAAGATTTTTGAATAATTACTGCTGAGTATTTTTAATTCAATTTGTCCCGTAGTGCAGGAATATTTTGATGTTGCTGTATTTTCGGAATAAATTTCATTAATTAATTGACGGGGAAAAAACTGACGTATAATCCACTTTAGAGGTGAAAAAAAATGTGCACAGCTATGAAAATCTTTGGTGCGCCTCGTCAGAGATCGGTGACACAAAATTCAAATTACACATGTGCTTAATGCCTATATTTATTTATAATACTCTGTTGTTCCAGTAAAGTAGACCGTGAATGACGGGAAGACTTTAAAGTTAAAATCCTCGATGTAATCTTGTAATTTTTACCTGCTAACGGTATAATCTATTTAGTTTCGAATCTCTGCTTTGTATTATTTCGCGCTAGATACTAAACCCCCGTCTAGTCCGGTTTTGCTAATCCTCAAATGCGTCCCTATTTGTTCTCACTTCTTTCGTCATTTTATTAAGAAATTAATTGAAATTGTAAATTGCAGTTCAATTATTCACGGGCAAATAATGTTTCTCAGTGTTGGAAAGAAAGATTTAAGAAAACTGTTTTTCAGAATCAACGAAGTGATTTTCTTAAAACCAGAAACTTCTTTTGCAGCTTTAAGATATTTTTTTCTTTAAGCCCCATAAAAGTTGATGGGAATAAAGTGCTTGTATGGCCAGAACTTGCTAGTTTTCTGCTCCCAAAGCATTTAGCGAGAAAAAATTCCATTCATTATTCTATTCTCATACTGGAAAGAAATAAGCTGCCTTGGCTCTTCACTAGGGTTTTTGGAAATATCCTCTAAACGAGTGGAGATAATTAAATTTTCATTATAGACTTTTTCATGAATCTCATCGAGAACCACAAAAAATGTTATTACAATAATTTCGCTATCTCATAGAGAATTCATTGAAGATTTGTGTTAGCTTCTCCATCTCGATTATTACGTTACCCATTTTCTATATTCGATCAAAACAATTGTTTAAAGTATGAATTGTTCATTACGTGACATTCCCTCCGGTACTGAGAATCGGGTTTTGAAGTGAAACACAATAACGAAGGAATCAGATTGGCCAATCTCGTTGGAGATTCTAAAATGAGTTTGAAGGCAAATTGGGAAAAGCTTTTGCGGCGTCTGTCGTGCTCATGACATCGTCATGGTGTCTCAACGTGAAATTTTCCCACTATACTTGCACTGTCAACAGTGTCACCCTTACACTATCCTGTGGAAAGCCTAGTCCTAATACGAGAAGTTATCCACTTGGAAATCCCCTTTAATGCTGGAGGCGCTAGCTACCAACTTCGGATACACCGAGTAGTTGAGTTTCAGGTGGTGGATAGAGGGATATTATATGATGTGGTATGCTACCTCGAGCTGGACTACTTTTCAAAAAGAAAAAGGCTAGTTATAATCCAGCTAGGATTGGTTTCCATTGCTCCATGAAATTCTCTGGAGTATCGCTCGCTGTGTGTGAATGACTCGCGGGGCTTTGTTGAGCAAACTTACAGCATTAATATACATAATAGTTTTGTTAGTCATCATAACAAGTTGTGAGTTTCTCGAATTGAGTTACTTCCGTCTTCGGAGGCTCACGATTACACTACACGTTAAATTTCAATCATTCCGTTTGAAATGGCGTTCGAGATCGTAATTATCGTAGCGTTGTTTATAATTTATAATTATAATTAATTCTAATTAATTTTATAATTATATACACGCGTACATTCCTCTCTTCAAAAGATCAGATGAAGATGATTTTATAATTATATTTTTTTATAATATATTGTTATTGATTTTATTTATCGAATCCAATTTTTGGGGATGTGCTCAGATATGATCATTGTCAGGCGCCCCGAATGCTAGTTTTATAAAAAATTGAATAATTTCGAATCTGCAGATGTATCTGATACTGAGCTCTTGATAATATTAAAAAAAAATACTTTTCATCATGACTTCTTTATTGTATTTGCTAGAATAAGCTTTTTCCGCGTGTAACCGAGTGCACAATGGAATTTAGGATGGAAATTCTTGGCTTTCTTTTTACTTACAATATCGAAGTCAAGATTCTCAGCTATCCAATCTCTTGCTTGTTTGAATTCCTTATGCAGTCCCATGATATAGAGTGTATCGAGACCATCAACAATGGTTGCACCCATGGCAGATGTACCAAAGATGCTGGCAGTATGCCCTCTCTTTGATATAGGTCTGAGCTCATTCTTGCCCCAGGCGTACCTGACGTAGTTGTCCCAGCCATGCTTCATCATCTGGAAAACAATAATCAAGGAATAAATTGAAGATGAAACGTTGTCTCTGCTCTTTGTATCTTCTCTTCCTACAACTATAAACATATGTTGTAAATGTTTCTCCATTTTCAATTAGACTTTGTCAATTGCTTTTTCCTCGCACTAGAATGAATAGTCGAGATAATTCAATTAAATTATCAGATTTTTTCCACATGCTTTTGTAAAGGGATAAAAATCTTGAGTATTCAAGACTGTCGGAAAACTACACTTGCAATTTCAAGGGAAAAAAACGAAAGTTTTCAGACAGTAATTTGCCTGATTTTTCCATCTCTAAAATATTGGATTGTTTTTGATATTGAATTTCCACGATGGGCCTAAAAATTAGAGCTCTCATTAAAAATAAGGGGATAAGGGGAAAATTGAGTGACGGTTTTTAATTGAAATTCAATTGAATGGCGATTAATTGAAAATTTTTAAAACTTTGTAAGTAAAATTCCAAGAAATTTCCCGAAATTCTGCGATTTCGATGGAACCAGAAAAATGCTCACATTCTTCAAATTCCCTTTCCACTGCGTTAAAATATCATTCGGCAAAAAGTTGTTGGGGAGACAATTAAATTTCCAGGGTTGATGTCGAGGGGGCGAAATCCTATCGTCGTATTTCAAATTTCACACGTCGCGAACAATTCGCAGAGAGTGTGTTATCTTTCAATGAAAATTCAGTGAGGAAGAAAGGCCAAAGTGAGTCGTAGACTGGTGAGAATGGGTTCGAGAATGTTTCGACAAGATCAGCTTTGTAGGGGTGTCGGATGAAAGCCACGAAACTTCCACTTCATCCCCCATCCGACCCACTACCGTATACCGCCAGTAGTTTTCAAGTACTTTGAACATTTACATTCGTTGTTTTCCCCCTCAAATGCTTCGAGTGCGCGAGTGCATGCCATCTTTATTTTCAAAGTCTTGTCACGTGAAAGCTATGATAATTGTTCCCGAAATTCTACCGCTGTGTCTGGCGGAGTAATAAGCGCTTTACGACAACAAACGGAAAACTAATTATTGTGTTAATAATCCAACTATTCTCCATGCGAGTGTCAGACGAATCTCCTCGACAGACCTGAAAAAATATTCAAATTAAACATTCAGGGTTTATCCTGAATGATTGGCTTGGGAAAAAAAAAATCATTCACGCATTAAATTAGTGGAAAACAAGGCGTCATGACGTGATGATTAATTGAAATACATAATTAATTCGTCAGCGGGTGTTTTAATTGAAATTTTATTGAATCTGGTAAATCAATGAGTTTTGAGAAATTACCAGTCGTTAGTTATGTATTGATTTCAACTTACTAAATTAAATCAGTAATAAAAGTCGATGGATTCGCAAGCGAACAATTAAAGAAAATCTTGACCACCGGCGCCAGTTATTTCCGTAGTTAAGATGATATAAAGAGTGAATATCAGTAAAAAGTTGATGAATCCACAAGTTTAATTAGTGAAATTCTCCGTTTTCACAATTTCAGATGGCATCAGGTGTTTACACGGAGTGAGAGAAGTGTGAGATGCATTCGTATGTGATGATGAGTTTCAGATTGCAACGCAATGAATGAGAAAAAGCCTTAGCATCTGTTCCAAGTTTTTTTTATCAAAGCCCAGTTGTATATATATTCACAAAGGCGAGTATAAAAAAAGAAGGAAAAGCTAGCTCTCAGTGCTTTGACCTTTGTACTCTCATCCAATCCAAAGCATAATTAATTCCTTCCGAAAAGATTCACCAGCCAAGTATCACATTGACGTGATTGTTCTCAGGATCTTTGTTCACTTTCTTTACCAAATAGGATTTTTTTCCATTTTTTTTTTATTTTCTTTTTTTCTCTTCCATCCCCTCTGTATCGCTGTCTTCTCCAGGGTCGGGCCAAACCGTTCATCTCATTATTCCGCATACTCACCAGGGAATATATATATCCAACCACGGATGCTAATGGGAGAGACAGAGAGAGCATCTCCATCTTGATTCTACTAGGTCCAATTTTTCTTGTTCGCTAAGCGGAAAATTGCATTCACTTTTTTCTTTTTTTTTTTCGGTACCCAAGAGGGGGCAGAGGCGTTGTATGAAACTTGAATGAAGGCTTATACATGGGTAAAAAAGGAAGGGGGTTTGAGGATTATATTGAGGTAGGCGACGGGACTGTCATCATTTTTACGGTAGGATGCTTCAGGATTGTAGTCGTTCTATTCATCGAAATTTTGGTAGGAGGAATGAATAAGTGAGATGAGTTTCATCTTAATCCACTTCAGCATCCGTGTCATAGAGCTCGCTGGATTTTCGTACACCGATAGAATTATTCATTTAGCCCAAACGAAATTTGTTAATCATTCAGGGAATGGCGGTTAATTATGATCAAGAGGAAATCCACTTTCAGGATTCATTAATAACTCTGAAATTATTCTTCATAAATTCTTCGGCGTGAAAAAATCTCGAAAATAATATAGGAATATATTCAAAATGCGACGAAAGAAAATCGAAAATATAAAACTAGTGTTGTTGGCACCTTAAAAAATAATCGTAACAATAGCAATCAATTAATCTTTGATTGAAATACATAGTTATATGAGTGCACATAAAAAATGAATTCAATTAGTCTAATTATATATTTCAATTCGTTTCTGGTATGTAAATATCTGTGATTTAAGTATATATTTTTCCCTTGTGTAGATAATATAAAAACGAAAAACGGAAAAATTGATCATCGAAGGATGAGATTTACTCGTCGAGGTTTACAAGTGGAATATTCTGACGTATATCAGAATAGAGGGGTATACGGTACGTTATGCACTGGGTAAAGTGGCCGACGTCAGTATTGTTCATCATCGTCGTGACGTTGGGGTGAGTTAATGGTTGAAAAGCGAGGAGCTTCCTCACCCGCAGTTGTGTACCAAGTGAAGCCTCGCTAAACTGTCTGCATAAACGCCGCGGTCCATCATCATCACGGTGTGTTATATCCAAGTGTAGATCTACCTCCTTCGGGTGTTTGGCTCAACATCCAGGTTCGTCAACCACGTCCATAATTACCGCTTTGTTTATCATTGCGAGAAGGCGTGAGGCATTGTGCTCAAGAAGAGGCTCGACCCCAGTTTCTAATACTCTGAATTAATCTTTGCTTAAGCGATGGCAACTACTGACACTGACGCCGACTCCTCTCACTGGATAAACCCCAGTCTGAATCTATTAGACCTTCAATCCCATACATGTGCATCACACATACATCTTCCATTACTCACACATACATAACTCAATCATCAGCTGACGGTGAATATCTCACACACCCCCTCAGCGTTTTGCTGTTCATCCAGACATGACACCTCTTTCGTCGTGTTCCTGTAACTAGCATTTCATTATGAAAAGCTCGTTTTCCATTGTGCAGACACCTCTGTCGTTGTCGGTGCGAGAAAGTGCTAGACAATGAGAGACGTTTTGCTGGGGCCACTGAATTCTCTCCAGTGTCACTCTGAAGACCCGGCCCAGTTGAATTATGGACAAAAAAAACAATTGCTTCGTTCTGAGAAGAATTGCCCCTGAGATTATTCTAGGTCTGATATCGTGGGGTTGAGTTTACTTAATCGGTCGTAACGTTTATATTATGAATAGTTGAATTTTAATACTGCCAGTGGAGTAGTGGAAAAAATGGATTTTTTTGGAAAGAAATGGGGATTAATTTCTTGTATATTCACAATTGGCAGTATTTCAATTTATTTATGACTTTAAATTTTGGGAATAATTTTGTAATTATGTACTTGTAGGAAATGATTGTTTGAGGAACTGTGACTGATAGAGCTCTTTGTTCGTTTAATTAATTTTAATTAATTTTGAAGAATGACTTATAATCACATTCAGAAGAATAATTATAGAGTTTTTACAAATTTCTATGGAATTGCTAAACAGCAATTTATTCCCGCAGATTTCGTCGGCAAAGTTTCAATATTCAACTGCGAAATTCTATGAAAATTTGTGAATGGTCGACTATTCATTCTCAGAGGGTAATTCTCAAAGAAAACTTGAATTAATTTTTCAAGAGTTTGGTTGAAGATTCAATGAAAATATGAATATCCCACGCTAAATTAATTACGCAGAAAATGAAGTCCTGAGCTCCCTGAAATTTTAGTGAAACTGTATTATAATAGGAATTTTAGAGGGTGTGAGGTGAATTTTTGTGAAAAATTTACGAAGAAAATACGCGAATATACATTCAATTGAAATAGAGGATTATTATCTATACGGAGAGTGGATCGATTTGAGACCGCGTAGACAGCTCTTTTACTATTCAATGAAGCATTTCATCTTGTTTTCTGGTTAGCCACTCTCACCAAGTTTGAATCTCACTGATCGATTGCTCTTCGGTTTAATGAGCACTTCCTGCGAGACAGTTTTAGCACGGGGTAATGCTTCTCAGTATGCACATGAAGATGATGGAAGGCGATGAATGTTCAATCAGCGTATTATTATCCAGTATCCACGTAGAATAATTATTCTAATGCGGAATAGTCGTATTTCGATAGAACAACCAATTGCTCCTATTTTTTTTCTGATAAACCCGTTACATTTCTCAGAACTTGTTTGAACTTTCAGTTAATCCGAGTTTTTATTTTAATAAATGCACATATTAATTATTTAATCGGAATTTTGAGTTGAGGAAATTCAGGTGAATAAATTGATTGGAAAATTTAATGAAAATTGGTTAAAAATTTCATCATACATTTGTCGAAATAAAAATGGAGTAGTCCCATTCTCTAATCTTCCGATGTACGTTTTTTTTATATAAGTTATTGAGAGGCTATATAACAAATTACGATCTCGTATTAGAATTGTTAGAATTGCTGTAGTTCCAAATTTGTAATTATAAAAGTTCATGCAGCCCCGTACGGTTGGTTGTAAGTTGATACAATATGAATGATGAGCCCAGTACACTATGTTAACAAAATAATAGCCGGTACTTGGAACAGAGCGAAATGTTGTGCAGCAGTAACTGAAATAATACCACTACTGCGCCGCTGTCTATCACAACAAAATTAATGCTATTATATTTACATTAATGTAGTGCAACTGAAAAAAAGAAATCAGTCTGCATCTATCCGATTTCTCAACGCACGTTATTTACGAGTTAAAACCCCGTAACTTACAAGTTCGGCACTCGTAATTTACGGGTTTGAATAAATGGTAATCTACGTTTTTAGGCTGAACGCATCGTAAATTACATTCTAAAACACATATTTCACGGTTAGTTTTTATTGCTCACATGGCAGGTGGAATTTCGGCATTTATCACTTTATTTTTTTTAATACTTTTTAAAATAATCGGATTTTCGGCTTAGATCAAACCGCTTTGATTTGAATCAACACTTTTTTCTCGATGGTCCGCAAGGAATTCGGTCGACGCCAATAAATTTCAGTAACTCTTACTCAACGTTAAATCATCAATCAATCAAACACAATTGGAATATTCATCAATAATTACGGACTCGTTAATTCCTAATTCATTAAAACATCATATTAAATTCCATTACATGAGACAATTGTTTTCCATCTATCAGATAACAACCGAATGGTTCTATCATTCTAATATTCCGATAAATATCATTTATTGACAAACCTCTTTGACTTTCTCTCGCCGCTGATTGGTGACATCGTCCAAAGGCGGATTAGGGGATCCGATGAAATAAGTAAGTGGTGCAGGTCCGGGCTTAGGTACAACAGCGGATTCCTGTTCAAAATAATCGGCTGGTCTGTGTCTCAAATTGACTGGACGTTTGTCCTTCAGCTCATTGAGACGATTGTTCTGCTCGGAGACGGAATTATCAGGTACCCAAGCCGGATTAACCTGGTCAGATCGTTCACCAGGACCAGCTCCCCGATCAACAACCGTTGCCAGATCTCTCCTGGTTATAAATGCTCCAGTCAAAAGAACAATTAACACAACCGACACAAGACCGCTGACCGCTAGTCTCTGTATGAGTCTCATCTCCAAAACACGTTGGAGTCTCCACCTGGTCTGACCCGGTGTGTCGTTTTGGACACTCGTAATGCCGTCTTTTATCACCTCGACGTTATTAATTATCGTTTATTATTGTATTTATCGAGCGCACACCGTAGTCTCGTTTGATAATCCTGATTATGCTCGTTATTTGTTCGTTTATATAATTTGATATGTTAATTTTTGCTCCAGTCGCTAGATCAGTGCTTTTAAATCTCTCGACTTTTGATCGCCAATGCCTCGAGCATTGATCCAAGGATGATGCTGAAGGAATATCTGAAAGACATCATTCGTCTATTTTATATATGTCACTGGGCTTTTATTCTATCATGATTGGAGCTGTCAATTTTTACATAACATCCTTCGCATTGGTGAGTGCTGTATTTTAGGACAAGTGTCACGGGTCTTTTGACAGGTAAAGATCGTTCAAGTCGGAAAGAATAGATTGTACGAGTTGAGAGACTTCATGGTACTAGTTTTAGTTTTGCTAAAATTATTATCATTGGATCGTGGATTTCTCTATCGAAATTAACGTTAGAGGCACATGACAATATAAAAAATATAACTAATTAGTCAATTCAATTATTTTTTATATAGAGATAAGGCAAAATGGAGTGACTCCTTCGTACAATACGCCTATAATTTCCAATAGGCGGCTTCTCAAATCGAAATGCAGAATAATTCGTAATTTTATTACCTTTGAGAAGTAATAAATAGAAAAAGTAAAGGTATAAGTTGGAATAGTTCTCGATATAACCCGAGAAGCGTATTGGAATAAAAGTTGTGGAATTTTATAAGTTTTTCAATTAAAAGTATTGCGAGATTTATGGAGAAATGTGCGGAGAATTGTTGCCTCCACGTTTCTGAAGTGAATGGTAATATCAATTCAACCGGAAAGTTGAAAAAAAAGTGGAAGATGGGTTATGATCATTATCGATGCTTCGGTTCGGAGAATTTCTATGGTACTTCATGGTAAAATTCCAACTGCAGTTTAATATCTACTATCTATACAGAGATGAATAGGCGGAATTGAGAGTGGAGAATTTTATCACTCAAGGAACGTACGCATTCGTGCAACATGAGTTTTTCCGTTGACTTTTTTTATCCGGTGATTGAAAAATAGTGCAAATCTTTCTTGGATGAGATCGATGGAAATGCAGGAGGTCGGACTGAAATGTGAAAAGAGACCTCGAGGTATCATCGGATGTGCAAGAAGATCAACGTATCTTCACAATCACCCTTGAGTCTCGTTTCCACGGGGATGCTGACCACATCAGCTCGTGAGAATCCGTCTTCAGGGGGCGATAATGCGGATTGAACTCAAAGTAAAGGAGGAAAACTCACGAAACCTAAGGAGACTGTGAAGTTCTTTATCCATCAGATATAAAGTAGAAAACTTATTTTATTTTTCCTCTCACAACAAAGTTTTTCAATGAAAAATTATAGTCCTCAGGTTATCTATAATGACTGTAATAAAAAAATTACACCTCCTAAATCAACTTACCATTTTAATCAATCAAGCCAATTTACTTGAGGCAAAGCAATTATTTATCTCAGTGGATTGCACGAAATGCTTGGAAATAATTGCATTTTAGTTATTGATGATTGGCAATGTTCAGTTATAATTATTTGGAATTTTTAAGTAATCGAGCATTCACTTGAATTATTATATATATTATATTATTTCAAATGATTAATTACGAAATTCGTTGGAATTTGAGTGAAATGCCATGAAAAAATTTCCAAGTGTACTGGTGGGAGTTAGAGTCAAAATTTTAAATAATAAAATGAATAGTCTCCGGTCACGCGAAGGGCCGGTGGATGCACGAAAGGGGATTTAGTGCATTGTGGGGAAATTCAATAAAGGGGAGGAATATATCCGAGAATGCAATCATCGCACAGACTGAAAGAGATTTCACCAACGAAAATGCACGAATAATTTTCTCCCGAATATCACATTGAAAAGTGCACGCAGAGATCTCACCATTATCATATTGAATTCAATTGAAGAGCGCACATACATTGAAATCACGTAAAAAAATAATTGATATTCCGTTTTTTTGCCACTCACGTGTGATCCGATGAAAATGGATACATTGTTCACACCATTTTGGACAATCAATTCGTTTGGAATAAATCTATCCACCTGAAATGAATATGCTGTTCCGCTGGATTTCAATGAGACACCATCGCGGAATTATATTCATAGATTTTGCATGAAACCCCTCATTTGATTCCCGCCAAAAATTTTTCGAGTTCATAAATATTATAAATGATCACGTACACGGAAATTAATGTACTGTATCAGCCACGATTCGAGGATTTTGTCACAAAAGTTGTGAGGACACAACCAAAATTAACTGTATTCGCCAAAAAAAACATTACATTTACAGAAATTTATTAAATATATTAATGAGGGTATATTTGAAAAAATCATCTTCACAAGCTAGTGACACTTTTCGCTATATCTAGATTTTTTTTTCAAGGGAATAATAATTATCATTGAAATGAATATTGTCTTTTGGTGGTAGGTGTGAAAATTGTAGATCAATCTATTTGTATGCAAATGAAATGTGGAGGTCATGGGAAAGTTGGAAGACTTATGTTTTGGTATCGGATGAAGTTCAATTGGCAGAATGAAGGGCTCATCTACAGCCACTCAACTCTAGTTTTGGAGGACGAGTCAGAATTCAGGTGGAGCACCAATTGCTCGTCTACGCAGAGAGTGTGGTACGGGTTGTGCCATCCTCCGAGTTCCTAGGTTTCCGGCATTTGGAATTTTGCTAACGGGCAAAACTTTGTCGTACCCAAGTCGAAGAAGGAGAGGGATGTGTTTGTTGGACCAAGAGAAGCCGAGAGAAGTGTTCCACGCCTTGGGAGCAAACGAGTGGCTAGAGGGAGGGTGGACCCAAGACGGATGACGAGGGATAGGTCGACTGGTTGGTTTGCACTGTGACTAGTCTGGCAAACTCATATGTTAGTTCGGTAACCTGGAGGTGACAACCCGGAGACTTTAGGCGTCAAAGATGTCTTCAAACTTGTCAGTGAAGCAGACCGTGTTGATTTGACATTCATTATATGTCCGGGCGTTTGATCATGCAACCCAGCGATGCTCTAATAAAGTTACTGGTGCATCTTAATTACGAATGAGAAAATTCCTGGCCCCTCGCCGAGTCCATTTCTCCCTTTCAAAGACGCTTCATTAATTCAAAAGGAGAATTCATTGCGTTAGTAACACGCAATTATCAGAAAATATTGTGAACTTTTCATTACGTACCCGTAGTTGGAACTCAAAAACAAATTCAAGTTCTTTAATGGTTCAACCAAGTTTTCAAAGTTTCAACCTGGAATTTATGAAAACCGCACTTTAACCTATTGAAAAGATATAATGATGCAAATTAATCGCTAAATTTCGTCGGTGGTAGACTAAAGGTTTTGACGTCAATCGAAAGATGCGCTCTGCTTTCGAAAATTAGAACGTAGAATCGATCGAAAATTACAAAGTTACCAGGGAGCTCCCCTTTCTCTAATGAAAAGGCAACTTTCTCAATTCCAGGACTTCCTCCCAACGTATTTCAAGCTTTCGCCAATAGGTAACGCCTGCCTGCAGCATGACTTGATGTTGTCCTTCAATACCTTCTAGAATGAAAGATTTATACGGCCATGATTCTACCCGGAATTTAGATAAAAATCGTCGGACACTTCGAATTTCCTATTCCAACTGGATCCCAAAAAAAATGAGAATAGTGATTCCTGAATCCATTGAAGAATCTACTTGGTCCCTCAACCTAAAGAATAACCACTTTCCTCCCAAATCTGATAGAACGTCACTCATAAGCTGCTGACTTGCCTCATAATGTATGGGACTAAAATTCAATCAATCACCGAATGAGAACACCTCATTTTCTATGAAATTAAAAAAATAACTGCGAGTACAATTGGATCATTCTGCTGGACAAAGGATCGCTTACGAAGTCCAAGCACTTTCCCCGTGTTTTTTACCCCCTTTTTCCTTCATTTTCCTCTTACGCTGCAGTTTTCGTTGTTTTCTTTCTAATGTTTCGCAACGACTCCACCTTCATTCATAGTAATTCCCGTCACGAACTCACCCAGGTACTTTATATCCCCGACGACAGACACGTTTCATCCGGTGAAGCGTGGTTGGTACAAGTCCCCAAGAATCGACAGAGTCAATTCACCATTCCCTTTTTTCACCATCTGTCGTCCTCTTTTTAGATACAAATCTCAAACAGCTGAGTGACGCTGGCATTGTGAATCTAAGAATAGAAGTATCGCCCAGGTAAATGGCTCAATCATCGATGATCGTTCCCGTGCGCCATCCTATTTGGTGAAAAGGCGCCAGTGTAGCGCACCACTTTGAAGTAATCATGGCAATGGCAAGGAATTTAGACGCAGCCTCGAGTTTTTGTGTGTGGAATAACTTGAGAAATCGAAAGAACGCAACCTGTTGGCTGCCACATGGCAATTCGCAATACGATCAATTCCCTTGGGTGCTTCTACGCTTTCCGATCAGTTGCACTCGAGATGGCTGAGAAGATAAGAGGGTAGAGTAAAGTACAGAGAGAAAGCGAAATGAGGGTGAGAGAGGATATAACAAATAGTGGGGAGAGGAAGGAGAGAAAGGAGATTGAGAATGAAAAAGAATTGAGAGGAATGAGAATGAGTTGCCCATTGGTTTGCCACTGTGTGCCAAAGAGAGAAGATCGATCAGTTGCTTTTGGGTTAAAGTCTTTTACCGGACCGTTTGACCTCAATGACGTTCATTAATCCGTTGAGTCGTTACTATTGTACGAGATACTGTGTAAAGTATACGATTCAACGACCCTCTTTATTCCCTTTGACTTGAGCTGAGAATTAGGAATCATCTTGTATCCTATAATCAATAGATGTCAATTTGTCCATGCTAATTGCTTTAATCATACAATTACAGAACGATTTCTTATCACACTTATTCGTCAATCGTTTGTGATAATTGCTACTGCAGGTTTTCGTTACTTTGATAATACCGTGCCTCTGCTCGGAAATGTTTCTAATGTTTCGTTCAAGTAGTCATTTTCACAGCACTAATTACAACAGCTTTGGTATATTAAAGCTTTGCGCGGTCATAAAGGAACTCATCCTTTGAGATATATTTTTATTGCATTAGATTTTCATTGAAATGTCAAGAAACTTGGAATTTGGAAATTAAAAATTTTTTGAAATATTTAGTTAAAATTATCTGAAGGTATTTAAAAATTATGATGAACTGAAATTTC